CTCTCTCTCTCTCTCTCTCTCTCTCTCTCCTCTCTCTCTCTTTCTCTCTCTCTCTCACACACACACACACACACACACGTCAGGCACACTACCGGGCCTGGGCACTGAAACTTTCCAATATACACAAAAGATTTCTCCTACCGGGTCTGTATACTTCATGACTTTGTTCCCGGTTACTGGGTCTATAGACTTCGTACTTCAAAAGCTATTAATTTCCAAAGGAAATGAATTCGATATTCGTGTTCAGCACAACAATATTATTATAGGCCTAGTAGAAAATGGACACCTAGAGTAGTTAAGAGTGAGACCGGAGGGAAAGTAAAAGAATACCAAAGTTGCCCTGCAATCAATGCTTTTTGACAGAAAAGTATGTTTTAATTAGTTGTGATGACATTATTATTTTGTTATATATTGCAGGGTCAGCTGCTGTCACTACTGATTATGTTTCTTGGATTCAGCAAACTTGTTTTTAAAACGTAACTTGGCCTGGTCCATCAGATCAGTTTTTTAAATCCATGTCGGTGTTTCCTGAATATTTCACCCTCTGCGTTTTCTATTTCAGACTTGGACTTTACAGATTGAGGTCAGAGGTGGAGTGTTGTGTTGTCTTCAGGAATAAGCAACCTTCAAAATTGCGGCCATGACGCCTCAGGGGGGCATGATGATGGCGGCCCCAGGCCAGTCGTCAGGTGCCACAATCCCCCTAGCTGTTCTCATTGAGTATGGACTCCAGCGGACGTATCATGATCTGGTCGTCTTATCAGAGCTGTAAGTGGTTCTTGTGATCTATATAGTGTGACCAATAAATCTATTTTAACTTGTAACTGTATCGCGGATATTAGTAATGAGGAATGTCAAAGCCATTGTTTGTTATTGTATGATACTGCACCCTTCCTGTTGATTCTAACCAGTGTATTTAATTTAGTTTTGTTAAATTTGTTTTGATGAGAAATAACAAAACAGTGTATGCATGGACTCGTCGTGTGCACTTGCAAACATATTTAGTTTATTACCTTTTGCATCAAGGCATTTATTTTTAATGTGCTATAATAACTTGATTTTGCAGCATTTTAGTTTAATTTAGATTAGTAATAAAGAGAATTATTTGTACATGGAAGCCCAGCTTTAGTGTGTTTTTATAATGGCTTAGCAATGGATGTGTGTCTTTGTACATGTTCAAGAAAAGAAGCTGGTCGTGTGTTTTTGGAAGAAAAAAATTTCATTCTCTTTCAAACTGTGTGAGAGTATGCAAAAAAATAAAAGTCTGTGTTTTTATACGCTGACCCCTTTTTGCTGATTTAGTTTTTAAAGAATTTATGAGTACTTTTTGTTTACAGTAATGATTTATTACTTACTTTTTTTCAGTTTGCCAAGAAAAACAGACATGGACAGGTAATGTAATTCTGGGTAAAATATGATATATTGTCAGCAAGCTGTTTAAAATTTGTCAGGAGAGAGGGAAATGTGTCATTTTTTAAACAATTTTACAACTACAATTTATGTCTTTTCCTGTGGGTTTTTTTCAACATTTGGAATTTGAATTTTGATAAAATATTTCTCTTTAAGCACATACAACTGATACCACAAACTGGAAAAGCTGTAATTTTATAAAAAAATTCTTTTGGCTCAGTACATCTGAACAGCTGGTTGGTGATATACATATTTAGTAATAAGATTGCAATTTTTGTTAGTATTTTTTGTCTAAATAGCTGTTCTTACTTATGATGTGTGTGGGGTCTACTTCTTTTTCTTTTTGTATATTTCTTCTGGAGCAAGGGTTATCCTTGATTGCTGACAGTGAACCAGGGTGGTTAAAATCTGCTTTTCTATCATTGTTGTGATTCATGGTGAGCTTGATTGTCAATCATTTCTTTGGTCGCATAATGTGTGAGTGGAAATCATTAATTTTTACAGAATATCTCATCTTTGTGTATATAGTATCTCTTGCAGCTGAGGCATAGTCCTGACGGACAGGGTCTTATGTGTTAACATACGCATGAAATGTCCAATCACTGTCTTCCTCACATGTGGGTGGTAAGAGGACACCTACTTCTTTTCTTTCCCTCATTTCTGTCTTACTTTTTCTTAGCACTAGAATGGCTGCTGATATGTTGTTGTGTGCTGTTCTTCGCTCAAACTCACCGTAACGTGTTATTTTTATGGAAGTGGATATTTATACGGCAGGCCGTCGAAAAATTGGAAGTGATAATTCCACGGCACATAAATTCAGCCAATCAGAACATCCGAACTATTTATAATTAAGCCTATAATCTCTTTTCCATAAGTAACGCATTATTATAGAGATACAATTTAAGATACCTGTATGTTTAGTTAACAATGTTTATCCTTTGCTATAATTTTGTGCATTATGGACAATGATGAAATGTTTTGTGGGATTGTAATGAGAGAGAGATGCATAATTTATTTTGTGTAAGCAAAATGGAAAGAAGACTGGGTTTTTTTTTCCCAACAGTAGGATGCCCATTTACGGATGGGATCGGGTCGGGTAGGTATGATCACCCGACTCATCGCCTGGAAAACAAACACAATTCTTGCATTGATACACTTCAAGCAGAGCCTATGCCGTCGAAATATCAATTCCGATCTTTAGACTCAAGACGGCATACCGTATAGGTATCACTTCCGATGTTCAAACAGCATGCCGTGGAAATATCAACTGCGATTTTCAGATGGCATGCCGTCGAAATATCTCTACCCTATTTTTATTTATTGCAGGAAAATCGACATTTTCCAGTTTGCCAGTCGTACTCGCCAGTTGTTTGTGAGGCTCCTGGCTCTAGTCAAGTGGGCCAACAGCGCCTCCAAAGTCGACAAGTGTATGGTATGTTACACTTGTTTTGTGTGCTTTCTTTTCTGCAGTGGTTCTGATTATTAACCTTTGTAAAATCACATTTTCTGATTTAGAACGCCCCTCTGTTTAATTTTTTTCTACATTTATATCTGATTTTTTATTATTTCACTTTATTTTTGTTTTTGTTGTTGTTGAAAAAACATTCAGTTCTATTTTTAATAATTCTTAATACAATTTAAAAGTCATTAGCTGGACAAGAGATATGTGCAGATTTCTAATCTTCATCTCCAGTTCTCTGTCAAAACCTCCAATAATACCTATTTTGTTAACATTTTCTGAAATGTTGACTCTCTGGATGATATTTCGATATTTCTCCTCCAATTTCAGGACATTTGTAATTTCTTGGAACAGCAGTCCATGCACTTTGTGGAGACCGCTGACAGCCTTTTCAAAATGGCGAAAGAAACTTTGGCATCTGCCCGGTAAGATGAGACTTTGCGGTATAATTTTAATGCAGATAAATGGGAGGAGGGTTTACAAGAATGCGGATATGTTATTGAAAAATTCTGCTCACCGGTATATAATGTGTATGTGTTTGTCATTACACGTTTGAGTGTGGTGGATTGGATTTGAAGAATGTGGGGGGGATGTGTCTGGGTAGAGTGGTTCCTAATAATTAATTATATGTCTTTTCTAGTGTGAGCTGTAGTAGCTTTAGAAGCTTGGTAAAATTGTACTTTGCCTTAGTTTGAGGATATGTGGACATTCTGTTTTGACTTTATAAAGAGAATCTTAAGAATACTGTAATCCCTGAGCATTGCTGTGAGTTCTGCAGGGCTGTAAATTTTGTGAATTTTTTGTCGGACAAATCTCGTCGCTGGTTTGCTGAAATATTGTATCCCTCTGAGCTTGGATTGGCCCTGGCTAGCAGGGTTGAAGCTAGGGCTGGATTCTGCTCGGTTAATCGAAGGCTTGCAAAGCAGCGGACGTCTTGCGCTAGAGGCTTGCGAGCAGGCTTGTGATTTGATTTGCCTCCCGCTTGCTACCGGAGGGAACTTCCGGTGAGTTGTGACTCGCGGACAGTCCTGT